GTCTTGGGTGAGGGCGGGGCGGGGCCTGTATGAGTGCAGGGCGTGGTCTTGGGCGAGGGTGGGGCGGGGCCTGTATGAGTGCAGGGCGTGGTCTTGGGCGAGGGTGGGGCGGGGCCTGTATGAGTGCAGGGCGTGGTCTTGGGCGAGGGCGGGGCGGGGCCTGTATGAGTGTGGGGCGTGGTCTTGGGTGGGAGCTGGGCGTAGTCCAGGGTGGGGTGGGATGGGACGCGGTCAGGGCGAGGGTGGGGGGCTGGAGGCAGGATGGGGCACGCTGGGGTCTGTTTGGGGGTGTTAACTCCAGGCTCACAAAGCAGCCTCTGTGTATGGTCTCCCTGACCGGTGAACGTCCATCCAGCCCGCATCCCCGCGTACCACCACGCAAGGCACATTCTCAGCATCCACGTCGCGCATCCTCTTCAAAGGGCCTATCTGGGTCCAACCAAAATGACGAGTGCAGTCCCCGGGGCAAGGTCCGGCCGGGTCCGCCCCACCCCACCCCGGCTCCGTCCACGCTGTGTCCGGCAGGCCGGGCTCCCGAGTGGACTCTGACTGCCACTGAGGCAGAGGAAAAGCCTGGAATTCTTGGAAGTTTCGGTGCAGGGCGGGCGCCGGTGCGCAAGGGGCTGGGCCGGAGGCCGGAGGCACAGAGGCCGGAGGCCCGAGGCACAGAGGCCGCAGGCACAGAGGCCGGAGGCCCGAGGCACAGAGGCCGGAGGCACAGCGGCCAGAGGCCGGAGGCTGGAGGCAGTCTAGCGGAGAGGCCTGTGAGACCTCACCTCCAGTAAACCAGCAAACATTCCCAAGTGGAAGCGCGGCTCAAGCAGTAGAGACTCCGCCCTAAGGGAAGAAGACAGGGCAGGAGCACAAGGTCCTGGGTTCAAGCCCCAGAACCAGGAAAATTACATCGATTTCAAGAGTAAACCTTTCATGCATGTTTCTTGGCCAAAAAAAAAAAAGTGACATGGCCACATCTAATTACAAATATGCAGGAAAACGCAGAGAGAGAGAGAGAGATCCAAAATCTTTATGAAGCATCAGTAAGCATTGCACCTGTATTGCCCAATGCTTTGTAGAATAATCCATTTCCAGTGTTAAGTTTATTATTATTATTACTTTTTGTGTGTGCCAGTCCTAGGGCTTGAATCAGGGCCTGCGCACTGTCCTTGAGCTTTTTTTGCCCAAGGACAGTCTACTACCACTTGAACCAAGGCCCCACTTCCAGCTTTTTGGTGATAATTGGAGATAAGAGTCTCATCAACTTTTCCTTGCTGGCTTCAAACAACAATCCTCAGATCTCAGCCTCTTGAGTAGCTAGAATGACCAGCATGAACCACCAATGCCCAACGGTTAACTTTATTTTAACTGTTTTCTTGTGTATGCTAGGGGGAGAGGGTACAGCAGCGACTGAGCCTAGAATTTAAGCCCTGCATGCTCACTTTGTCTTTTTTGCTCAAGTCTGGCACTCTACCGCTGGAGCCACACCTCCACTTCCACCTTGATGGTCACTGGAGATAAGATTCACAGATTTGTCTGCCTAACCTGGCCTCAAACTAGGATCCTCAGATCTCAACCTCCAGAGTAGCTAGGATGACTGGTGGGAGCCACCAGCACCCAACAAGGTTTTCTTTATAATGAATTTGGAGTCTCCCTTTGTCCAGTGATATTTACTCTAGGCACCGGAGATGGAGCAATATATAAGTCAAACTCTCCGCTCTCCTAAGCTTCACACCACACTGGATACACCGTCATGCAGGCATGGCTGAGCCTCTATACCTTCACCCCTCTCTCCCGTCCTCATCTCCTGAGCAAGCGTTTTCCATGCCCCTGCTTGCATGCACGCGCAGTGGTCGACTCAGCGGATGCAGGGTCATGTGATCCTGTGTAGTATTCTGCTAGCCATTGGGAAGGCTGGACATAGGTAATAGGTGTTGTCATGCTGATCACACAGAGCTAGTGGCTTCCAGTCATTTTCAAACTGTACTCCAAGGAGCTTTCCTGGGGTTCCACAGGGTGCTGGGGAACAAACAGGCCACGGTTTCATCCACTTCGCGTGTAGGTACAACCAGACTTCAGAGGTTTCTACTCTTCTAAAGGAAGAGAGAGAATGAGCCCGGCACCAGTGGCTCATGCCTGTCATCCCAGCTACTCAGGGGGCTGAGTTCAGAAGATTGTGCTTTGAAGCCAGCCCAGACATGAAAAGTCCATAGGTGAGACTTTTATCTCCAATAAACCACAAAATGCAAGAATTAGAAGTGCTGTTCAAGTAGTAGTGTGCTAGCCCTGAGTAAAAGAGTTGAGGGACAACACCCCAAGTTCAAGCGCCAGTACCATCAGAGAGAGAGGCAGACAGACAGAAAGAGAGACAGAGATGGAGACAGAGACAGAGATAATTCAAGGTTTTATATATAAGAAAACCGCTGGACACTGGTAGCTCATACTTGTCATCCTAGCTACTAGGATGACTGAGATTTGAGGATCTCAGTTCAAAGCCAGCCTGGGCAGGAAATTCCATGAGACTCTAATCTCCAATTCACCAAAAAAGCCAGCAGTGGAGTTGTGGCTCAAGTGGTGGCTCAAGAGTGCTATCCTTGAGCAAATAATAATATAAAAAATAACTTAGGGACAGCACTCAGGCCCTGAGTTCAAGCTCCAGGACTGGCATCTAAAAAGAAAGAAAGAAGACAAGGAAGAGGAGAAGAAAAGGAGGAGGAGGAAGAGAGGAAATGGAGGAGCAGGAGAAGGAAGAAGAGGAGGAAGAGGAGGAGGAGGAGGAAGAGGAAGGAGAAGAAGAGCAGGAGGAAGAGGAGGAGGAAGAGGAAGGAGAAGAAGAAGAGCAGGAGGAAGAGGAGGAAGAGGGGGAGGAGGAGCAGGAGGAGGAAGAGGAGGAGGAGGAGGACAATGAGAAAGAAGAAGAGGAAGAAAGAAAAAAACAGACATGTAAAGATAAGTAACTTACCAAGGTCAAACAGTGAATTAAAAGCCTGTCTGAGATGCAAAGCTGACTATATCTGTTGGTCTTCAACTCAGCAGGTCTTTCTTTTCTTGACTCTTCTTTTCTTTCTACCAATGTATACTAAACCTACAGGATAAGCGCACACACCACCTCCAAGTAAATACTGGTGTGTCCATGGGAAAAGCTAGTCTATGGGGATGAGCCCCAGAGTCACCGAGGAATCTGGAACCTTTGCCAGTCGATGTGAGAACAACACATTCGCCTTTGGCAGGAACCGCCACAGGGCCTCCCCTGCCTTCTCCTGCTCATCAAAGCCCAGCTCTGCTGTAATCTCACCTTCTGCCTTCTGCTTTCTGTGTGTGGAGGTTTGAGAAAGAGCTCATTTGGGAGTGAGAACCGCCCCCTCCCCCGCCCCCCCAGCCCAGTGCTGCATGCGATGGAGAGAGACGGAGGGGCCAGGCTTTTTCCAAAGCAGAAGTGTTTAAGAGTGAATACGGGCAAAGCAGTAAGTACAACAGCTTTTACATGCTAGAAAAAGTACATTCATTTGCCTCTAGGATTGGCCAGAAAACAATGCTACAGTACAAGTAAAATTCAAAAGGAACCTAACTCCAACAACAGAAAAAGGCCTTCGTCTCTTCCCCAAGGATTAAGGGCTAACCACAAACCCTTCCTCACATTCATCAGAAATGCTAATGAACTGTTTGATCTCCCCTTTCCCGTGGCAACTGCCATTTCTTTGCACACACACACACACACACACACACACACACACACACAGCCCCAGATTTACACCAGTCTCTCTCACACACACAATAAAAACCAGATTTTATTTCCTAGACATTTAGAAGTCTCCCTCCAGGCTTCAGGTACCTAAAAGAATCTCTAAATTTGCTTCCTATAGATTTAACCTCCACACCCTTTCCTCCCCCTCCCCCATTCTAGGCAAGAAGAAAAACTCATTAGGTTTTGTACAAATCCCCGACACTCAGTACTCCCCAACCTACCTCTCCTTATCAACAGTCCCTGAAATATCACGTCCAACATCTCCACCAGCCTCTGGCCAGCCAGCAGCTCACTGGAAAACACATCTTAGTGCCAAAGCAGGCCCTGCGGGCTTCTGTCTTTCCATAAGGCTCCAGGAAAGCTAATGGTCACCTACACTGGCCATGGACATTCCACAAGGAATTACTGACAGTGGTAGTTTGTTTTGGTAGAAGAGAATATGCATAACTGGTCTCATACACTGTCCCTAACTCCTTCTGGAAATTCCTTATGCCACACAGAAAGCCAGCAATGAAGGCCCCCGAATCCCGGGGACAAGGACAAGCTACAAGGTCCTGCCACCTCCCAATGAAATCCCCCAACCCCAAGAGAAACTGGGGTACAGTCTGAATAGACCCTAGTTCTTTGCCAAAGATGATTTAATTCCCTGAAAGTGCCCGAAGATCAGCAGTGGGCTGTGGGCACAGTGCTGTTGATGTAGCCAGCACCTCCCCAAAACAATGCTGAGCTGGAGGCTGCCAAAGAGTTTGCTATGTAAATGCCTCCACGGGCGCGGCCTGCGCCCACCCCACCCCCCTACACTTGTCCCCCACAGAGGGACAAATTAATTCTTTGGTGGTGAGGTAGCCCTCCAAGAGTGCTGGCTTTTTGGAGAGCTGGCGGCTGAGGCTGCAGACAGGAGCTGTGGTTTGTGAGGGACTGCACAGGGTTCCTGCCCAACCCGGCCTGGCTGCGGTGGGGTTGTTTGGGGTTGTTTGGCAGGCGAAGTTGAACTTCCTCTCTCCTCCTCCTCCTCCTCCTCTCTCCTCCTTCTCCTCCTTGGAGTGGCTCCCATTTCAACGTGACTGGAAGTCTCAATGGAAGAACCCGGTACCCAGAGGCCCGCCTTTGCGGGCTCTGTCCAGCTTCCCAGCTGTACTTTGAGCCGCTGATGGGCCGGATGTTTTTGCACCCAGAGATCGCCGGGGTTAACCCCCAGAACGCCCGTTTTCTGAAGATTAATAAATAATAATAATAGTGAAACTCAAACAGGAAAACTTACCCCAAACTGCGTGCATGATCGCTCCCGATCGCTTCTCTTCTTCCAGCGCCTCATCTCCCAATCAGCTGTGGTCCACCAACCCCTCGGCACCGGCCCACCCGGCCCGGCCCGCGCACGCGCACGCGCGCGCCCCGCAGCGCCGCGGGGCCGGCTCGGCCCGCGGCTCCCCGCCTCCCGCCTCCCGCCTCCCGCCTCCCGCCTCCCGCCTCCCGCCTCCCGCCTCCCGCCTCCCGCCTCCCGCCTCCCCGCGGCCGCAGGGCCCCGCAGCCCCGGGCTGGACACGGCGCGCGCGCGGCGGGCGCACACTGCACACGCGCGCGTACACACTTTGCACACGCACGCGGCACACGCGCTGCCCCGGCCCCTCGCGGGCCTCCGGGAGCCGCCGGAGTTGCCTCCCGGGCCGCCCCGCGGGGCTCCGGGGCTGAGCCTCCGCCTGGGAGGCTCGGGGTGCGGGCTGTGGGCTCTGCTCCCGGGCGGAATGGGGTGGGGACGGGAGCGGCCCGGGGTCGGGGACGCCGCCCTCCCCGCCGAGGAGGAGATGGAAGCCGGGACGGGGGGCGCGGGGGGCGCCCCGCTTGGCCGGACCCGCGAGGTCTTTGTGTCTCGGCGACGCCACCGCGTCACCGGCTGGGAGGCTGCGGGCGGCGCGGGCCGGGGACCCGGCGGCGGGGAGCCAGGCGCGGCTTCGCCATCGCCTTCCACCCGGGGCGCGCGGGGAGGGGGGGCGCGGGAGGCGGCGGCGCGCGCCCCGGGGACGGAGACGGGTGCGGGGAGCCCATCCTGGGGATGCCCGCAGTGGGGTGCCCGCCCTGGGATACCCGCATTGGGATGCCCGCACTGGGGGCACAGCGGGTGGGGACTCAGGCGCCGCCAGAGCCCCCGGGAAGGAGGGCTGTGTCCCCCGGTCTCCATGTCGCTGCTCCGGGCTGGGCGGGGACCGGGGTGAGCTGAGATTCCGTGCGGGAGGGAGGCTGGGGAGGAGTCGCCCCCGGGGTCCGCTTCCCCCCCCCCCCCCGACTTCCCATGCGGAAAAGTGTTCCCATGGCTTCCCCCCACTTCCCCACGCGGGAAGGTGACTGTCCCCACGGCTTCCCCCCACTTCCCCACGCGGGAAGGTGACTGTCCCCACGGCTTCCCCCCACTTCCCCACGCGGGAAGGTGACTGTCCCCACGGCTTCCCCCCACTTCCCCACGCGGGAAGGTGACTGTCCCCACGGCTTCCCCCCACTTCCCCACGCGGGAAGGTGACTGTCCCCACGGCCGCCGCGCCCCAGGGACACAGCCCAGACGTCCTTCCCCAGCCTTGGACTCCGCAGAGCCCGGCAAGGCTGGTGTTCACTTCATTGGTCACCAAAATTGGAGAGATGATCTGTCACCCCACCACCCGCCCCTCAACCCTCCAAACCCAACCCTACTGGGGCTGGGTTTTCCCAAAGTCCAATGGAATGGATCTATGCCAACCATAAGGCCACCAAGCCACCCAGGCAGGGGCAGTACTACACATCCAGCCAGTGACCAGGCTGGGGAAGTCACACTCAGAGCGGCACACACACACACACACACACACACACACACACACACACACACACACACACACACAACCTCATACTCTTCAGATCCACAATCTTGTTTCTAAAGGAAGGCAAAATCCCAGGACAGCCTACCTTCTTTGGGGGCAGAGCCCTCTCCTTCGGGCTCCAAAACTTGGCTTTTCTTCCACCATAAAACCAAAATGCCAGCTCCAAGCTGTGGTCTGAGATGGCCAGCCTAAGGGACTCGGATCTCCATGGCATTTCCTGGCTGTGGCGGGCTGTGGCTGGCAACCTGCTCTAAAAGTGAACCTGCTAATTCATGGATACTTTAAATAATGCTTCCTTGGGGCCTTGCTGACAACGATATTCTGCCAGAGCTCCTCCCCACCCAACTTTTACAATTGGCTGCCTTTATTACCTTGCAGCAACACCTGTTCAAAACCAGCCTTAGGGAGAGGACTATTAGAAACCAGGAAAATAGGGATGAAGTTTGCTTCAGGTTCCTTACTGGATTCACAATGTGCACATGGTGTAAATGTTTCTTACTGAAGGAGTGAGGAATGCCCAGGTAAGCCTGTATGGTCACAGATAAAGGTCAGTGTGTGTGTGTGTGTGTGTGTGTGTGCGTGTGTGTGTGTGTGTGCGTGCACCAATCCTGGGGTTTGAACCCAGGACTTTGGTTTTGTTTTTGTCCCTCCAGTTTTGTTTTTGCTTGAGGCTAGTGCTCTACCACTCTAGCCACGCCTCCACTTCCGGCTTTGTGGTGGTTCATTGTAGATAAAAGTCTTATAGACTTGCCTTTCCAGGCTGGGTGTGAACTTTGATCCTCAGATTTCAGCCTCCTGAGTTGCTAGGGTGACAGGCGTCAGTCACTGGAGCCTGGAAACACATTTTTAATTGCATTTTTACAAAAGGGTCACTGTTTAACAAATCTGTTTATGAGTACAATGTATCTCAATCAATGTCACCTCTTCCATGATTCTCCCCCATCCCAACCTAACCCTTCCCTTCAATTTTCTTAATTTTATAGAACATTAATTAAATATTATGACTCTACCCTTCCTCTCTTCATTCATCTACCCCTTTCCCCTCTCCTCCCTCCCCTCCCCCCATAAGTACCAGCTTCCTGGCATGTATTATGTTGGATTATGGGTTTGTTTTTGCTATTAAGGAATGACACTATTTGAATTCTCCCCTGCAAATGCCATTTTTGCATTAATGCATTTGTGTGTGCTTGCATACAACCTCATATGTGTTTGCTTGCACATTGATAAATTAGTTCTAGCTTCCACATATGAGAGAAAACATGAATCTTTCTCTCTCTGGGCCTGACTTACTTAACAGAATTTTTCCAGATCCCTCCATCTCTTTGCAAATAATTTAATATCATTCTTTCTAATGGGTGAGTGAAATTCCATTACACACACATAATATATTATATATACATATATGTATATTGATCACATCTTCTTGACCCATTCATCCAGGGAGGGGTGTCTGGGATGACTCCATGACTTGGCTATGGTGACTAGTGCAGCAATGAACATGGATGTGCTGGTGGCTTTACTGTGTCCTGATTTGTAATCTTTTGGATAAATGCCTAGGAATGCTGCAGCTGTCACTGAGAGATGGGAAGACTCTTCAAGCTGCCTTCCAGTGTAGTTAAACAAGTATCCATTCCCCAGCCTGGTTTTCTCACTTTACTGCTGACTCAGTCCACCTCTGATATTCTTCAAATCAATCCACTTCCTACTCAAGCAGAGAGGACCAGTGTCAGATGTTGGCTGCCGGAGGCTGGAAACCCTGGGAAAGTCTGGGAATTTCAGACAAGAGAGGAAGGCTGAGATGGATCTCAGAGACATGTTGTAGCTGAGCTCTGCACCCCACAAGGCTGTGCTCCTTCCTCGGTGGATAGGACATGCTAGGCAGTGCATGAGGGTAAGGCACTGAGCAAGGGGGAAGGAGGCTTGGGGTCTGTGCCCAGCTTTTCGTGTCTGCTTCTGCTATTTGGGCAAGAGGTTGTGCAGTCTGGACTCATGTTTCCTCATCTGCTGTATGGGGCGGCCATATCAGGTCCTGCCTCGAGACCTCAGCAACTCTCACACTTGAGAACTCTGGCAGACACAAGACCTTCTCTGAAAAAACAACAAAGTGAAAAGAGCTGAGGGCTTGATGACTGGAGCAGTAGAGTGCATGTCTAGAGCGTCAGAGCCCTGAATTCAAACCAACTACTTCATAGGTACAGACGTATAAATGCAGTTGCATGCACATATATGCAATAAGAGAGTAAAGAGATGACAGATGGACAGATAGATGTAGAATGGATGCAGGCAGGTAGAAAGACATTTAAAAAGACAAATATAGATGATAGGTAGACAGATGATAGATAAATAGGCAGATAGATAGATAGATAGATACATGCATACATACATGCATACATACATGCATACATATGCAGGCAAGCAGAAAGATATTCAGACAATATAGATGATAGACAGATAGATAAAACCATGCTAATTGCATAATATAATGATCTAAAAAGTTAGTATAGAAAAAACCAAGTTTGCTGGGCACTGGTGGCTCACGCCTGTAATCCTAGCTACTCAGAAGGTGAGCTCTGAGGATTGCGATTCAGAGCCAGCCCAGGCAGGAAAGTCCATAAGACTCTTATCTCCAATAAACCACCAGAAAACTGGAAGTGGTGTTGTAGCTCACATGGTAGAGCGCTAGCCTTGAGCTGAAGAGCTGAGGGACGGCCATCAGGCCCAGAGTGGAAGCCCCATGACCAACCAAAAAAAAAAAAGCCAAGCTTTTCAGATTAGAAACAAACAACAAACAGCCAAACCCAAATTCTCTGCTGTCTAAAAGAAAGCTACTTTAAATATAATGACTCCAGCTGGGTGCCGATCCTCTCAGCTACTCAGAAGGCACCAATCTGAGGACCCAGGTTTGAAGTCAGCCAAGGCAGGAAAGCCCATGAGACTCTTATCTCCACTAAACTAACAAAAAATAAAAATAAAAAGCTGGAAGTGGAGCTGTGGCTCAAGTGGTCCAGTGCTCGCCTTGGGCTAAAAGAAGCTCAGGGACAGCGCCTGGGCTCTGAGTTTCAAGCTCTAGGACTGGCACAAAAACAAAAAAAATAAAAGGTGGTCAGATGGAAGGAGAAGCAGGGTGTCTATACAGCTCAGAATAAAGCTGGAGTCGGTGGGCCTGTCCAGGGAGGGCTGGCTAACAAAGCGGGTGAGTGGCGACCACTGGCACAGAGGACAATAAAACAAGAAAGCCTGGGGAAACTGTTTTCTGGAAGAGGAGAAAGGAGAATGGTTGATAGAGGAGGTGAGATCCCATGGAATGGAAGAGGGGAAGGGAGGGTGACCAAGGAGATAAGAGTAAATGGAATACACTATGGAAGTTTCACAGTGATATCTCCCCTTGTGCAACTACTATATGGTAATAAAAACTAGGAAAGCATAAATAATATAATATAATTGGAGGGGGGAAGGATGCCAAAATGTGTGGTATACGGAGGAACATCCCTTAA